CTTCCGGACATACACACAGACAGCCTCTCGGCAATATGCGTTTTTGCTGACTGTAGCAGCACTATAGTGTTACACAGCAAAAACGCATAAAAATCACCAGTGCTGCTACCGCTGCTGTCACTTATTGTTGTTTACCAGTTGTTACTAGCTAGTGGAGGTCGCGTAAATTGTACTCATTTTTGATTAGGTCAATTTGTGCTGGAATTTGCTGAAGTGCTGAAATTTTGCGAGCTTGGCCCACGAATTTGTTTACGCCTCCTACTTATTACATATGAAGGCATGAAACTGAGGCTGATAATTTCGTAATTTCACAGCAGCTAGAGTGCTGAAATTTTGCAGGATTAGCCCAGACGCTGTGCATTTACATGAAATAACCTTCACATTGCCCTTGTATATAGAGACATGTGGAGATCGATGATGACAATTTTATAAATTACTCTGCAAAAAGCATGTGGTCGCACTGGATTCTGACGCGCACCACAAGTACTTGTTAACTTATACGGTTTATTTGTTGGAGGTGTTCGTATTAATCTGCAGATGTAAAAAAAGTGCCTTTTAGGATTTCAAAGTATATGTATTATGATAAGGCATAATTTCAATGCAACCATAAAAGCTTGGCAAAATCAGTGGTGCGCCAATTACCTCACTGCAACTTACCAAATAGCAATGGATACGGGGGCAGGAACAACAAGCTGCAGAATCCGAACATCAAAAAATAAGCCACATACTAGATAGGGCAAAAATACAAGTGTAAGGGCTGCGAACGTTGATTTGTAGTTTGGACTGTAGTTGAGAAACAGGGAGCAGTATCGGTCTGCAGCGATCAACAGCACAATAAGTATCTGCGCATTTCCGAAATTGTACACAATCTGATATTTCAGCACTTCCTGCAAAAAATATTGCAGAAAGTTAAAGCACAAGAAAATTCTGGCGAGTCGAATAGTTTACAACGAGATAGCTTAAATCAGATTTTTAGAAATAGGTGCGAACAAGTTTTGTACTTGATTATACTCTGGTTCACAAATGAGAAGTATGGAAGTTTGTTGTGCCACTGGCCAAATTTAAGTCCAAAAACATTCAACTGCAGTAATAAGCGGCAGACAAATGACAAGAGAGCCAAAAATCATTCTGATAAAGTGGCATGTAATATGGAGCACAATTTTTAAAATGATGGATGTATTAAGTTTGCAAAATAAGAAACATCAGAGACTTGACGAATTATTTTAAACGCGCTCGATAGAAGTCAGCAAACTGCAACACTGGCAAGAAATACTGCGATTTACATTTATTATTGCTAAATTAATAGAAACAAACCTGGTGACTCAACGAAAATGAAAAGGAAGAGAGCATGACGCTTGTTGTGATCGTAGTGGCGTGATATGATTAGGCCGGCAAGCAACTGCCACATGATTTGTTTATGTAATCTGATCAGTCGGGTAGGTTTACTATATCAGTGTCTTCAGTGGTGTACAAACGCCGCAAAGCGTTCGTCACCAAGGAGAACGCCGTAGCGCAGCAGAGAACCATCGTGTAAGGCAGTTGATGTTTTATGTTTAAATCAGATGGCGTGTGGGAGTGATGGAAAATGTAGGGAGCTGTATATCGTTTTTTATGCGTTTTTGCCGTGCAGCGCTAGAGCGCTGCAACAAGCAGCAGAAACGCATATTGGAACGATCCTGTCAGTGTGTGTGTGTGTGTATTTTTGTGTTTGTTTGTGTGTGTGTGTGTGTGTGTATGTTTGTGTTTGTTTGTGTGTGTGTGTGTGTGTTCGTCTGTCCGGGTATTTCAACTCGCTAACCGCGCAA